GTGACAATATGAGTTGGCAAGTTCTGGAACTGAAAATCGATCTGTGGAGACTCGTCGTGGGAGATTTTTTTTGAGAACAAACGAAAACTAATGCGCGTACACGGATGTCATCCATAAAATTAAGTCGGTGTGGCCTAACTATGACAACTGAAAGTTGATTAATAACATTCTGAAAATACATGTCAAATTAACATAACATTCATTTGTCTTTTTGGCAATCATTTTGTAATAAAAAGCTCCTTATATTCACTACGTTCAATCACCCACCATTGACTCCGGTCAGTCAAAATGACTATTTTGAACTGCAGTCATTTTGACTGATCGGAGTCTGGTGGGTAATTGAACATAGTGAATTTTAGGCAGAGAGTTCTCATAACCCGCCTATTCACATAGTTTATACCCACCATAGACTCCGGGTCCTCCTGACCACCCCACTTTTTCGTAGCGTTGGCTTAGTCCTCGGTGCGGAGAAAAAGAACCAGACTGACTTGATAGCTAATATGGTGCCGCCTTAATACCTCCGGCTCGGCCACATGGTTGTGATGTAAGAGGAAAATCTTTAGGTCATGGGGCTTCCCCTGACCTAGATTTCTCTCTCCATCATTGGCTGAATCGCAGATTAATGCCTACAGTTCAAAATAGTAATTTTTACTTACCGGAGTCTATGATGGATATGAACTATGTGAATAGGCGGGTTCTGAGAACCCTCTGCCTAAATCACTACTCTACCTCCTATCCTCCTCATAATTCAACATTTTTGAAGCATTCTCCATCTCAACAAGGCTATCCTTCCTTGTTTTGAATTCCCACAAACTGTTTATGTTTCTGAGCTCATCATTTCTTTGAAAAGTTCCTACATTCCACATCTTAAGCCAAATGAAATATGTGTATAGCTGTTTATTTTGTCATATTTTTTTATTTCATTATTCTTGTAGAAGCTGTTGTACATATTGGTTTATACTGTTATAAAGAAATAGAATTTCATACTACATGAGTATATACAGCATGCTGTTGGAGCCAACAAATGAGCACCCTCTAGTGACCACTTTCCAGTTTAATCATAAAGAATATGCATGTGAAAATTAGGCACGGTTGGGTTATTTGGATTTAGTTTTACCCCTGGCGTGAATAATGATGTAACTTTGTTTATTTTGCCAGGGTTCCTAAGTCAAATACATCTCTTAATTACAAACATGTAGAAGTGGTTCGGAAAAAGGATGCCCGGAAAAAACTGAAAGGATTTAATTGTAAACAGTGTGAGGAGGTAGGTACTGTAACCATAGCAACATGTATAGCATCTACCGGGGGGTATGATATTTTGTGCATCTATTTTATTAGAGGCACATATTGCAACGTTCATGTTATGGGACCTCAGCATGTTCCGAAATTGTTAATCCTTTGTGTTTGCAGAGAGATTACAGCAGTTGCATTCACGTAGCGGGACTCACTTTGGGCTCGGCTGGTGCGAAAATTATGCCCTCATTTGCCAATCCCAAACATGGAAAACGTCTCGCATGATGATAGTAATAGTTGCTATATTGAAATCATGTCCATTTGCTGTTATAGTATCATCATGCATGTGAACGGCAAAGAAAATTCGAAAAACAATTATTTTTTCACGTTGATGTACATTGCAAGAAAAAGAAAAAAAGCAGTGTCGCAGCACGTAAATATGCGTCACTGGTGACTGTTTGCATTTATTTCATTCAATACAACAGCACCTGACTATATCTAGCTTCTTCCATTGTCATATCATACAGGTATGATTCACTATTGGTTCTCTTAAATTCACCACTGAGGGTGTGATTTCATACTGTCTATATGCTTCTAAACAGCAAATACAGTATTGCCTTGCTGCCTTTCCGTTCATGTCTGCTTCAAAAACTGGTCATTGTTCTTATTAAATTAATATTACTTTCTTTCTCAGTACTTTGGTGGTTTAGATCTAAATGACGAAGAGAAACTAGAAAGAATGAAGTTTTGTTCCCGACATCGTGGTAAACACACACCACCTAGTACACCAGAACACTACTGGGAACTGGACATGCCAAGCACGCAAACATGTGTAGAGAGAGGTAAGAAATACCAAGCACACAAACATGTGTAGAGAGAGGTAAGAAATACCAAGCACACAAACATGTGTAGAGAGAGGTAAGAAATACCAAGCACACAAACATGTGTTGAGTAAGGTAGTTTCATTGGTTTGAGTAGTTATCAATATACAAAGTGTTTCTCTTGGTACTAGATTATTGTACAATTTGGTCATATTTAATTTGAATTTTATTCTTTTTTGTTTAGTATCAAAACATTTGGTTTCAGTCTTTCTTTAAAGCTACTGTTTCACTATGATTGATTTTATACTTTGAGACACAATTTAAGCGAGTATTATGCAAAGCGGCCTGTTCTCGGGCGCTCTTAAAATTTGATAATACATTTTATGTATCATTACCAGGTTACATGAAGACTGCAAATGAAAAAGAGCCTGGTAGAAAAAGAAGACGACAACCATATCAACAGAAGTTCTAAAACTGGTACAATTATGTTAAATTCTAACACTACTCTATTATATATACCTTCTGATAAATAAAGATTTTTATTGAAAATATGATGCAAATGTCTTGTGGTTTATCATTTAAAACTGTAAATGTCATTTTGCAGTTAGACATAGGTATGAACTGTAAACCATTTAAAGCGAGAGGGTTGTCACCTGCGCACATGCAGGAATTGAGTCACAAGCGCTGATAACAACACACGCTAAGAATGCAAAGGCTCATGGGTAGACGCTTGTTTGTAAACAATGACACGCTATGGCCACCAGATGCATGCGTAGGTGACGACTCCCCCCGCTTTAATTTTTGTTGCTAGTCATTTTAACTAAATCGAAATTTTTTAGCATTTGTGTAGACATTTGGCGAAAGTTACTGACACTTTGTGTTCTAGAATTACAGAGAAATTTCCACTGCTAAAAAATTTGGCAATTTTCACTTACATGCAAAAATTTGAAATTAAAGGGGTTTAGAGTAAGCGTATGCTACTTGGATATCTATGTACCGTGATTGAAAGCGGTTGACAGTAAGCGTATGCTACTTGGATATCTATGTACCGTGATTTAAAGCGGTTGACAGTAAGCGTATGCTACTTGGATACTGTAAAGGGGGTAATTATTCACTGGGTTTTAATTTAGCTTATTTCGCTTACTGGAAAAACGCGCTAAATTAAAACACAGTGAATATGTAATATTTAGCATAGAACACATTATCCAAATAACGAAACCGTGAATTTAAAACCCACTGAATATGCCTGAAATGGTAAATCAGTGAAATTTAAACCCAGTGAAAATTAGTCATTTTACAGTATCTATGTACGGTGATAAAATCACATTCAGTGCAAGTTACATGTGCACTGCAATCAAATACAATTCTAACCAATAGCGTCACAGAATTAGTGGTCACTTGGAAAGTTTTGATTTCATTAACATAAATGAGCGAGAGTAACGTATTCAAAAATGCAAACAACATAATAGACGTTTTGTGAATGAGCAAGAACACTTAGTAAAAACAGCCCAATTTTTACACAGGCTTGCTTCTTAGCACATCTAGAAATATCTTGCTATTTCTATGACTCTTTTAGCATAAGGTCTTAAGACTACTTGTATCATATGAATCCTTCATGTTAACAGCTTTTCATATGGTGTTGATTAAAAATGGAAAATAATTAATTTGTTTATAACACAAAAGCTAGATTCATTACGTCAGTATGAGAAAGACTTATCAATCAACAAGACATCTTTTGGAATTGTTTTCACATCAGTACCATAAGAACAAACAACATTTTCATATTTTAATAGAATCTTCAGCACAAATATTTGGATAAGAATTTATTTACTTTTGTGTATTAAAAAAAAATTAACTTTCTTTTCAATGACATAAAGCTAAAATGCTTTTACCCAAATATATGTAACCATATATGGAAGACCTACCATGCCAAATATGGCAAGTTAATTTTCTATTTTGAATAATTAATATTGACATGCCAAATATGGATTTTATTTCCAACTACTGTCACCCTCTTATTGTTCCAACCACCAAAGCAGCAACATTGTCAGCTAAGTTGCTGATTGGTTTGTTGTGCGTGTCTCGTGATCATTACATGTATTTGTATGTATTCTATTTTCTATGTACACTGACAGTACCCTAGAAACTGTTCTGTTGAATACAGAATTTTTAAGTACAAACCACTTTTATGAGGATGTGTTGTTTGGCCAAATGCACTCATTTACGAGCATTATGACATGCACCAGTGACTTAGTCCTGACATTTCATACTGTATCAAGATTTTGTTTTGGGATTTTTACTGTTTATTATATAATATAGAAATTTATACGATTGAATGAAATAAATTGAAAGGCCATTGCATCATGATCTTCTATTTATATTCAACGTGTCAGAGGACCACCACCACTATAAGCTTGACGTCTCCTGTTTAGGTTAGATTGACCCAACTTGTTGTAATCGATCTCTAGGCAGGCATAGTAAACCAATCAACAACTTAGCTAGCAATGTTACTGTTTGAAACAATATACAATGTTGGTGGTGAGTTTGAATATTTATAATGAAGCTAGAGATAACTTGCCAAATATAATTAATTGATTTACTAATGTAAATTTACATTAATGTGTTAATTTATTCCATTTCTCATACTGCCATACCACATATAGAACTTAAATTATTGTGCATTTCACTTATAAATATGTTATTTGAGATTTCAAATGCATAGACTTGACTCAAATCCATCTTTATAAAATATTTCATTACAACAAATTTAAAAATTCTGTATTCAACAAAACAGTTTCTAGGTTGTACAGTCAGTGTATATAGAAAATAGAATACATACAAATTTATAACAAATCAAGTTTGTATTTATTTGGATTCAATGGATGATGGAGGGTTATTGATGGCAGTTCATTCTTGACTGATGGCACAAGTACTAATTTACAGCCACTGAGTTCACTGTTCAAAACACCTGCAGTGAGAGGATATTCTAATTAAGAAGAGTGATCAGATCAAAGGATAGCTATTACTTTCTAAAATCAGACAATTTTAGGGGTATTTTAATAGCATAGCTTCTGTAATCACTAGAACTCAACATAAGTTTTACTCTCAAAATGCATTTTTTGGCTTTCATCTGCCTCTGTGTGCTTCCAATGCGGCAAATGTGGTACATCTACCTCTTTTAATGATGTGGTTCTAAATACAGTGCTCCTATATGTCTCAGTACTTCATATCTGCAGCTTTATCATGTAGTATATAATAATTATTTCTTCTTATCATACTAAAAATATCATTAGTTTTTAAATACCATATATTTCACTGTTAATATGCAGGGCCATATTTTCTGAATTTCAAATTCATCGATAAACCAACATGCTCCATGTTATTAAGTGCTCATCCATACGGTCTGTGTAGTGCCGCTCTTGATCCATCTGTGTAGTACTGCTCTTGATTTTCTATTGCAGTGAGAATCCTATATCTATCATGGAAAAGATTATGAGCATTATTGTGTATAGTTCTGTGTTTTAATTTAGTACATTATGCAATCACAAAAATTGAAACCCAGAGAATAATAAAACCTGTCTATTCAGGATAAATGATGGTTTTGATCAAGGTTCAACTTTAGAATTGTAGACATGGTATATTGCCAATAAATGCACTGAACTTTAGTCATTTGCACTATGATGAACTGTAAATTGTCTGCAGTCTGACCCTCTCCCCTCCAATTTGCGGTGTCTGCTACGAATGTACAGAAATCTGTCATAGTGCAAAGATAAATTATTTTTTATCTGCAGTTGTGATGTAGGTTTCACATCACAATTTGAATTATATACCAATTAAGTTGTATTATTACACATGTCTTAAAGTTTATTAACAGTTTTCACTTGAATTCCAAAACACGTACAGACCAATAAAACTTCATACAAGTTGATACTTGAGCAATTCAACTTGGAGCCATTTCATAAATTTTAAAATCCGTTTCATTGTTTTAATTCTATTTAAATACCACAGTGTCGTGTTCTGTTTACAAAATTGATTTTAAAAACATAGAAATAATAATAACTTGTTGCAAAGATCCTTGGGTCTGTGTCATTGAGATGACTTATTCTTGTTCATTGTTTGACCCTTCTTGTTATTAGAAGGCGAGAGTGGTTTGGTATGATTCCTAAATCAGTGTATACAGCATGTGTCAAATAAATAGTATGCTGTCATTTAAGATGTGGCTAATTTAGCCAATTTGAAGCTTCATTCACAAAATATAATTGTTGTCAAACATTGGAATATCTATGGTGCATTTTAACAAAATTGACTCAATGCGTGAATTAACAGAATCTCAATTTAGCTAAAATACCAACAATTTCATTGGTACAATATACTTGATTTATTAGCGAAAACGGATTAGCTAAATTAGTTATCTAAAAAAACATGTTTTACAGTAATTTTGATAATGAAGATTTGGGTACATATGAAATCAAACCAAATTGTAGCTACATTTTAAAACATTTCACAGTATCTCAAAGTATATGTAATTTGTAATGATGAAATAACGAATCATCTTTTACAGGATATGATTTATGAGGTATTTGGCAACGAACGGTTTTGGACGTCGCTCATTTATTAGTCTTCGTTCAAACTAAGTATATTTCAGAACTCCATGGACCAAATCAGTTTGCATGTGCCTAGTACTTTATCTGGGACATATGCACATGCAGTGTTTTACTGACTCAATCCAAGATGGCTGACTTGCAGCCATTTTGTTTTTGAAAATGTGTTATATTGTGCATGCTTTGTTATACATTATACATGTTAAGAAACATGTCTCTGACGAATTTGGTTGGCAATTGTATCTTGGTTGCATGGCGACATTCAAACTTGTGCAAACTGTTAAAACTTTGACACCATTGATCCTCAAGATTTGAGAGCAATCGTTAAGTTTAAATTTTTCAATTTCCTGCCAAAGTGTACAAAATGCAGTAGTAGAGCGCCCTCAGCAGCTGCTGGTGGCTTTGTGCCAACTGAAATTTCAAATCAGACCA